TGTTGTTAAGTCTGGCATACCGTGGGTTTTGATATGCAGTGCTAATCCATTGCGATTAATCGACGACAAAAGTACACCCCCGTGGGGCTCAGGTATGATAATATACGGACTAAATTTATATATAAATAACTAATAATTTAAACTTTTTACATAAATAAATTAAAGATTTCTAATATGTAGATAACTTAATAATATTGATTCCCCTAGTTTTTATTATTAATAATAAAGTAATAAATATAGTATTAATTATAAAAATTATTACAACTTTTAAATTGATTACAGGTATTCCAATAGTGAGCGACAAAAACGAGTGGAAAATATTTCGTCAAACAGTAAACAAGGCGTCAATCGAGTCATTGAAACAATTCAATGAATACATTGTATCGAAAGGTTTGCCTGAATTGACTGAATGCCAATTTTTCAAAGCCTCGCCGTATCTAAACATTTATCAATTTGCGGCTCAACTCGATTACACTGATGTCAGACCTTTAAAACCAAAACACTACAGGTTTGATAACTTTATGCGTACAGAAATGGATCACACGTTTGACATACCGGTGCCGTTGAGGGACAGACCGGGAAAGTTGGTGTACTTTTCATTGGGATCTATGGGTGCGGCAGATGTGGACAATATGAAGAGATTAGTGACTATTTTGTCCAAATCTAAGCACAGGTTTATTGTGTCGAAAGGACCGCTTCATAACGAGTACTCATTGGCTGATAATATGTGGGGCGAGGGGTCTGTACCTCAACTAAAAGTTCTACCGTTAGTTGATTTGGTCATAACCCACGGCGGGAACAACACACTGAACGAGACGTTTTATTTTGGCAAACCTATGATTGTTTTGCCCCTATTTAACGATCAATACGATAACGCACAGAGAGTTCACGAGAAAGGGTTTGGTATACGACTCGATGCCTACAAGTGCTCCGAAGAGGAGTTATTGAATACAATCGAAAGTCTATTAAATAATAAGGAATTGAATGAAAAACTGACAGAAATATCGCAGAAAATACAATCGGATAATAGTTTAGCAAAATTGCCCAAAATGATTGAAAAATTGGTTTTACAACAATAATAAACTTTACAATAATTAATAAATAATAAATACCTAAAGACACAGTACCTAAGGTTCGCACAGTTCTGTTATACTTTAATATTTTAAAACAATTCATTGATTTGTAATTTAGTCGTGATATTGTTACAAACTTGTATAATGTGGTATATTTATTATTTAATAATGCTATGACCTGTTTCAAGTATCTGTTTATTAATTAGTATTAAATATTTTTAACAGGTTATTTATAAGTTATAAATTATAATGTAACAATTTATGTTAAAAGCATTAATAACTATCTAATAAATAGCTTTATTATACTGTATTAAATTAAAATAATTAATAAATTAGAATTACATGAATATAATTAAAATAATATTTTATATAAAATAATTATTATACTACATTAATGCTGCATTAATAATGCACTACATTATTGTATTTTTTGTTATTAAAAAAACATCATAATTATTAAAATTGTTATTTTTTAACAAAAATTATTTTGTGCGATACGCTAAAGTCTACAAGGTTAAATTAAATCATCTAAATACTTAAATCATTCAAGTTTGTACAACCTTTGATATCTTCCTTATCCACCCCAACCCCGACCTCTACCTCAACCCTCACACCTCCCTCTAATATTTACAGTAGGCTCTGATTAATGGGTTAATCATATTATCAATATCCCCAGAAAATAGTCACGTGACCGACAAATTTTTTACCCTATAGAAATTGACCGGCATGAATCTATATATGTTTAAATAAAAATATTATCACTTCAGCGGTTCCAGAGTATCATTAAATATAAGATTGTTCTTTTTATTTGAACCGTTATGTAATAACGTTATGTGTCACTTAAATGTTAGATGTCACTTAAATTGATCTATAATATGTTATTAATTTATAATAGAATATTTAGTAATTTTATTTGCAATTTAAGATTTAATATTATAATTAATCTTTGATTATTAAGAAATTTTGAGAGGGATTTTCATATACATCACAACAACACATCCATACAAGGACATCGAGGAATATTTTACCACACTTTCCTACACATTATCATTCATACATACAATTCTCAGAATTTCAAACTTAGCCAAAGTTCACACATACATGTTAACCAACACCACATCAGCTTAAATACCCAGAATTCGCCACATTTCAACACATGTCATCACACATTCAAGACATCCATCACATCATGTTTTTATATCATAAATATAAATAACATTAATTAGAATTATTCATAAACACATATAATCATTGTATAAATCAATACCTTTTCATACATATCATTTTCATAGGGAAAACCCTATCCATTCACTCACTACATGTAAACTTAATACTTATATACTCACACACCACAATATATTCTGTATTAAGACATCACTCATTCATTTCAATAAAACACTTCAGTTGAATTTCACCCACAAACACGGTCTCCCATTCATTCACTTTCTTTTTCATTCTACCCGAGAGAGTCCTGCTTTTGATAAGCATAGTGACCCGAGGTCTCATACTTTACACTTTAACCACTCTTCACCCGACCGTCCATAAGTCCATCCATACATCTATCCATTCATACATACATAGCCATCAATCAAACAGTCAATAACAGACCTTCATAGCATTCACAGCCAATCATTCACTGCATTCACCCACCCGATTCAACTCACACATACACCTCACCCGACGGTAAGACCCGATCGTCCATTGATTCTGGTCCCACAGCTACCGTTCCGTACGGTTCGTCTCCCCATCTGGTGTTCCCCATCACACACTCGCGCGCTCACACCTCTACACCCACATCCCATTCACTGACACTTTAGCCACTGGATCAGCTCCGGTGATAGTCCTGAAGTTGTCCATCACAGCAAAGCATCTCCTACTCATTAGCTTTCGATCAAACCACTTTCGGGGCAAATAAAAACTATACTTCTCGAGTTATCGCTTCCCGAAAGTCAACACATTCACGTCTAATTGACACATTCATTGTCCACTGGATCAGCTCCCGATCAAATCCCAAACTTTTCCATCCCATCATAGCATCTCCATATCATAAGCATTCCATTCACCCATTTTCGAGAACTTTCCAGACATAGTTTTCGAGATATCACTCCTCAAAGTCGAAACACATCCATTCATAGCGCGCGCCCTCTCTGAACACCTAACCTCAACACAAGAACCGTCACAATTTAATTATAAATTGTATTATATTATTTATTGTAGTAAATTATCATACGATTAATTATACAACACAATAGTGTAAATGTAAGAAATTTATAAATTTTATTTGTAGAGGAGTTATTGAATGCAATCGAAAGTCTATTAAATAATAAGGAATTGAATGAAAAACTGATGAAAATATCGCAAAAAATACAATCGGATAATAGTTTAGCAAAACTGCCCGAAATTATTGAAAAATTGATTCAACATAATTAGTAGAATAATAATTAATAATAGTTATTATTCTAAAATTAGTTATGACAAATCAATACAAATTATAATATTAAATCTATTGCATGCAAAATAAAATAATAGAGTTAAAGTGAAAGTAAAGTTTATTTAATAATATACTAAACTTTACAAAGTAATTTTTAATAAATTTTAATGTTAGACACTTGTGGAAGTATTCTTATTTTTTAAAAAAACTTTTTTGTCAAAATATGGGAATTGTCCAAAAAATATTTTTAAATTGTTACATTTGTATTTACTATTAATTAAAGACATGATTGTTTAAAAAACCACACTTTTGTTAGTTCAATCATTAAAATATAATATCAATGAACATTTTAAATTTATATTTAAGATCTTTTATATAATTCATTAGTATGCATTATAAAGTACATACAATAAAGCATTAATAATCTGTTAATGGTTTTTATACAACAATAATCTATTATTTAATTTATTTTAAAATACTTTATAAATATAAAATTGTTACGATCCGGGAGTTCACAGAGTACCTAGGTACTTGTCCCCGTGACTCGTGGTCGACTGATCTGTAAAATATAACTAAAACATACAGATTAATAAAATATTTAAATAAAAAGTCATTAATTTTATATAAAAAACATTTAATTTTATTAAAAATATCAATGAATAGAATATCAAACATAGTATGCATACTAGACATTACATATAGTTAACATTTAATTAACTTAAACTAATTATAAACTAAAATGAATAAAAGTTTCATGTTTTAAAGTAGAGTCCCTGCTCTAAGCCCTAACCAACTATCGCTATGCTCTCAAAAACTCATTCTTCCCATCAGTTTATCATTTATCCAGTTTTATACAAATTTTACAATAATTGTTTAATGTAACATGATCATTTACAAGTGTACTGTGTATTAGTAATGAGTGCGAATGAGTGCAACAAATAGGTATTTAAAAACTACTACTGTATGAATCAACTGCATAATGAATAATAAACATGATACTTTTGAGAAAAAATATTAAATCTAATAACAATTAATAGTAAATTAAAATAAATAAGAATATTCATAAATACAATTTACGACATTCGTAACAAAATAGTACTCAAACAATTAATAATAAATTTTAGGCATATTCAATTAATTACAAATTTAATTAAAACTGTAAATTGTTTTTATTTACAATGAAATGGAAAATATTTAAGTTTAATTTTTTTTATTTGGTTGCAAATATTTTGAAAATACAACCAAAATATTTTAAAATTTATATAATTTACATTAGTTAGTTTAAATTTAATAAATCTTTAATTTTTGTTTAAAATTTTTATATTTTGCTGTATTTCTCGCGCAACCAATCATTACGAGTGTCGGCGCAGTCGGTGTCCGTATAGAGTCGGTGGTGAGTACTGGAGCTCAGGTACGGCTCAAATAGCGTACGATTCGCGTACCGAAAGCCGTCGCCATATGTGTAGAGCTCGGCATAAGAGCCTTCAGTAATACCAATGAATGTATGCATAGCCTTAAACTCATGCATAAGTAAGTGGATTTTAATGTAAAAAGTAGCATGTTTGATGTGCTGATTTAAATTATTAAATACCAACAAAATAATTTATGTTAATTAAACAAAACATGATAATTATTTAAACTGTTTTTTGTCAAAAACTATTTTGAGCTATACACTAAAATCTACAAGGTTATATGTGATAAAAATAAAATCATCTCAATACTTAAATCATCAATGTTTGTACAACCCTTTGACATTTTGCTTTATCCACCCCAATCCCCACACCTCCCTTTAATAAATACAAATACACATTGTGGCCATTAAGTCCCGCATACGATCCCTTTCTTAATAAAATAGTCACATGACCAAATAATTCTTACCCTCTAGAAATTTGCCGGCCTTGATTTATATATGCATAAAACAGAAATATTATTACATTAACAGTTCCAGAGTTTTATTAAATATAAGATTGTGCGTTTTATTTAAACTGTTATATAATACAGATGTCACTTAAACTGATCTACATATTATATCTGTATACTTTACATTATTAATTTATAATATACAAAAATTATATAAGATAGAATATTTATTTAATTTATTCGCAATTAAAGACGTACAGTAATAATATAATTAATTATTGATTATTAAGAAATTTAATTATAAGTTGTATTTTATTATTTATTGTAGTAAATTAGCATACAATTAATTATTCAGCACAATAATGTAATAATTTTTTTAATTTGATTTGTATTTATTTTCTATAAAATACTTTTAATTAAGTAAACCCATATGGTTTTCTAGTATGTAAATTATAATTGAAATTATAATTATAATTATTGATATGATTTTAGATTATAAATTAATTTTAATTGTTTTTAATTTGCGATTGTGTATTATTTTATAAATATAACTATATAAATAATTATATAATTAATGTGTCTAAAATCAATATAAAGATTCAAAACATGTCAAAGCAGTTAAACATTTTAATACCAATACGTGACGGCATCGCAAACTTAAATTCATGCATCGGTACGTCTATAAAAAAATAAAAATTATTTAAATAAAAATCAAACATGTTTGTTTATTATTAAAACATTACATAATAATTTCTATATTGTTCAATAACACACATAAACAAGGAATCGGTGAGTCGTTGGTGAGGGCCGGGCATCGGGTGATGTTCTTAGTGAAAGAGCAATGGAGGGGTCGGTTCACAAAGTATGGCATCGAAGAGGTGTTGTACGAGAATGTGCCTGATGACAACGAGGCGGCCAAACATATGGCACTTTTAAAAATGATCGGGTTTTTGCCCGATGGGTCGCCGCTCGACAAAATGGTTGCTTATTATACCCATTGGTTACCCTCTGTAGTCGACAAATGGCCCAAAACTGATGAAATGATTGAGAGCTATATCGCAAAATTGCACCCGGATGTTATTGTGATCGATAACACGGTTTATTCGCCCGCCGTTGCCAAGTCTGGCATACCGTGGGTTTTGATCTGCAGTTCTAATCCATTGCGACTCATCGACGACGAGAGGACACCCTCTTATGGCTCAGGTATGCGAAAGCGACACTAGTTTTACACGTAATTAGTAATTACTGATTACCTAATAATGTGTGTTATTTTAATATTCAATATTAATATTTATTACGTCAACATTAAAGTAAGACAAAATGTTACTTTACTTATTTTATCTACTTCTATTTGTATTATATTATATTAATTATTATTACAACAATTAAATATTTTATAATAACTATTACTTAATTAGGTTTTCCAATAGTGAGCGACAAAAACGAGTGGAAATTATTTTGTCAAACAGTAAACAAGGCGTCAATCGAGTCGTTGAAACGATTGAATGAATACATTGTATCAAAAGATTTGCCTGAATTGACTGAATGCCAATTTTTCAAAGCCTCGCCGCATCTAAACGTATATCAATTCCCGTCTGAACTCGATTACACTGATGTCAGACCTTTGCCACCAAAACACTACAAGTTTGATAACTTTATGCGAACAGAAATGGATCACACGTTTGAGATACCGGTGCCGTTGAGGGACAGACCGGGAAAGTTGGTGTACTTTTCATTGGGAACAATGGGTGCGGCAGATGTGGACAATATTAAGAGATTAGTCAATATTTTGTCCAAATCTAAGCACAGGTTTATTGTATCGAAAGGACCGCTTCATACCGAGTACTCATTGGCTGACAATATGTGGGGCGAGGGGTCTGTCCCTCAGATACAAGTCCTACCGTTAGTTGATTTGGTCATAACCCACGGCGGGAACAACACACTGACCGAGACGTTTTATTTTGGCAAACCTATGATTGTTTTGCCACTATTTACCGATCAATACGATAACGCACAGAGAGTTCACGAAAAAGGGTTTGGTATACGACTCGATGCCTACAAGTGCTCAGAGGAAGAGCTGTTGAATGCAATCGAAAGTCTATTAAATAATAAGGAATTGAATGAAATACTAATAAAAATATCGCAAAAAATACAATCGGATAATAGTTTAGCAAAATTGCCCGAATTGATTGACAATATGGTTTTACAACATTAACGCAATAATAAGTAACATTTATAATAATTAATGATAGTTATTAGTCTAAAATTAGTTATAAAAAATTAATACAAATTATTATATTAAATTTATTGATTGTAAAGTAAAATAATACAGTTAAAGTGAAAGTAAAATATATTTAATAATATACTAAACTTCACAAGGTAACTTTTAACAAATTGTAGTGTTAGACTCTTTTGGCAATATTCTAATTTTCTAAAATTTTGTCAAAATATGGGAATTTTCCAAAAGATATATTTTTAATTGTCACATTTGTATTCACTATTAATTAAAGAAATTGTTTAAAACCACATTCTTGTCATTTTATTTAGTACAAGGTATTTTTACATGTGTTTTCATACAACTCTAATTTATTATTTAATTCCTTTTAAAATACTTTTTAAAATATAAAATATTGTTATAATAATAATAATAATAATAATAATTTATTTAATCATAACTTCGTTGATTAATACAAAATTTGTTAGTATTGACAATCAGTTTGACATATATATTTGCATTAAATAATTTTCACAAATCGTTATAAAATTTTTTACATAATAAGTAGATCTGACAGAAAGTGGCAGAGAGTTAAATAAATCAATGCTATAAATGAATATATTTTTATCACACAAATTGATTCGTGTGTATATTGGCGTCAATTGTGGACCATTTCTAGTCTCACGTATTATTAATAATTGTTTCCATTTTTCGGGAATATATATACTATTGTTTACAGAATTATAGATCATTTTAAGAATTTTTATATCATTTCTAAT